TTCATGGTACTGTCTCTTTCCAAGATTTCCATGGCTATCTTTTCCTGGTTCTCCTCCAACCTCTGGCCACTCCTTTTCAGCGTTCTCTGTACATCTGCTCAGGATGCTTTTGCTTTGGTGTTTGTGTCGCCCAGGGCTCTGTCCTGTGTCTTAGTGTTTTCAGCTCATCATTTCTCCTGCTTGATCGCATCTACTCCCACGGTTTCCATTAGCACATGAACTTGAGGCTGTCTCCCAAATGGGTTACTCTATCCCAAACCGCTCTCTTGAGCTCCAGACCCATATTTTAAGCCATTTATTAGACAAAATCCTTACCTGTACCTCATATTCAACCAACCCAAACCAAAACTCATCATTTATCCCCCCCAAACCCACTCTACCTCCCTCATTTTCTAATTTAGTAAATTGCACCTCCATTCACTCAAAGATTCAAGCTAAAAATGTGACTATATCCAGCAGCCTGTGGTCAAGTCCTATTACTGTATCATCCTAATATCTTTCAGATGTCCCTCATTTATCCCTCTTCAGTGCTGCTAGCTGGCTTTAGAGCCTACATCGGTTTAGGTGGTTGTTTTTGTTGCAAATAACAGAAATGAACTCTGACTAATTTCAGAAGAAAAAGGATGGGGGAGGATATTTGAAAAGCTATCGGGAAAGCTCACAGAATTGAAGTCCTATGCTTCAGGGAGGACTGGATCTGCTGCAGTTCTGGGGACCTCAGTGGGTGGAGCTTAGCCCTTCTGCCTGGGACTCTGCATAAGACAACTCAGTTATAATCATCCTTATCTCTCTGTGTCTTTTTTTTTTTTTTTAATTTTATTTATTTATTTGACAGAGAGAGAGAGACAGAGCCCAAGCAGGGGGAGTGTGAGAGGGAGAAGCAGGCTCCCCGCTGAGCAGGGAGCCCGATGCGGGGCTCGATCCCAGGACTCTGGGATCATGACCTGAGCTGAAGGCAGACACTTAACCCACTGAGCCACTCAGGTGCCCCCATCTCTCTATGTCTTTATCAAACTCTCAGATTCCTAGTAAAGAGAATCTAGTTGGCCATCTTTGGATAAGTCATCCAGGGCTAGGAGACAAGAGGTGAGTAGCACAAATTTGTGACTCTTAACAATTTTTCACTCCTTCCTTAGTACCATAGCCTTCTCAAAGGCCTGTCTTTCTAATCTATGGTTCACACTGCCACCATTTTCATATTTCTAAAATATATGTCGTTTAACATATCTCCTGACTTAAAATCCCTCAATAGCTCTTTATTACTCATAGAATAACCTACAAGCTTCTATCAGGGACTACACTCTAGGATTTGGACCCTGGCTTCCTCCCCAGTTTCATCTCCTGCTACGTTTCTGTTAAATCTTATGTTCTAGGCATAAGCTATTTGCAGTTCCCCTATACAAGCCATGCTTTGTTCTATTCTCATGGTTTTGCTTGTGTTGCTGCCTGTTTCTCAAATGCCCATTTTCTCTTCTCTTTACATGTTTAACTCACACTCACCTTTCTAGGCTCAGTTTAGATGTTAGTTCCAAATGTCCCAGGGTTTAGTGCTCTTCCTCTTTGATCCGACAGCATCTGAACAAATCTCTGATATAGGCATTGCAATCTGTTACATTGAACTCTTTTTTTTTTTGTCTCTCTTCCTGGCTAAACTGTGAGGTCCTTGAAGTCAAGGTCTATATCTGATCTGTGTTTGGTTCCCATTGCCTAAGCCGGTGCTTAACATATCATAAATGGCCAATAAATATATTGAAATAAACAAATGCTGATTTTTGAATCCCTTATATACAAAGCACTGTGGGGGGAACAAATGTATATAAAATTCACATATCACTTTTTTTTTTAAAGATTTTATTTATTTATTTGTCAGAGAGAGCACAAGCAGGGTGAGTGGCAGGCAGAGAGAGAAGAAGGCTCCCCGCTGAGCAAGGAACCCGATGTGGGACTTGATCCCAGGACTCTGGGATCATGACCTGAGCCAAAGGCAGCTACTTAACTGACTGAGCCACCCAGGTGCCCCCACATATCACTTTCAAGATGTTTACTGCCTAGGAAGCAAACAGCATCTGCACAGAAGGAATGTACAAGCTACTATAGAATTGTACACACACACACACACACACACACACACACACACACGCCTGCAGGCTAGAATTGGGATTGGATTATCTGGAAAGTGTTCTCTGAAGAGGACACACCTCAGTAGTAACATAAAGAAAGAAGAGGATTCAAATGGTTTGAAGAGGTGGGGAGAGGGTTTTAAGTATGGGGAATAAGAGAGAAAGTGCACTGTATTTGAGGAATAGGGTGAAAACATTGGTTAAAGTAGAGGTTGATTAAAATATGGTGACAATGTCAGGGTGTGTATAGGGAAGTCATAGGTTAGAAAAACAAATTGGAGCAGATCTTGTTTATCTTTGTGCTGACTCCAACATAGAACACCCCAGCATTCTAGATTGCCCGTTCATCACAAATTCCTGTGTCTTCTCCAGAATCAAGAAAATAATAAGACACTTTCAAAATGGAAAGTTTCGGTGCCAAGGAATCTCCCTTTCCTCAATGAAATAGGGTTTCCTGATGTCCTTTAAGGTATTGTACACCAGATCTTTCTCTTTTTGTTTCGGATGTGGTTTTTGTGTTTGTGTGATTTTGTTTTTTCCACCCTGGGTGGCAAAAAGGTAGCCCAAGATTTGTACCTCCCAGTTTGATGGCTTCTATTTATTGTAGTTTCAATATACACATGAATTGGACTCACGATTCCAGTAAACTAAAGGTGAGAAAAGGCTGAAAAGCTCATTAATCTACTCCCCTTGAGGGAATTTTCAGAGTTTAGCTCAGTCTAGTCATAAACTCTAGACAATTGTCTTTAGGGTTTATGTCTAGACAATCAAACTAGATATAAACCTTAAACAATCACTTATTGGCACTGTCAACACTAACACAATCTTTCCTCCAAACCCGCAGGCTTTATAGGAGCTTGGGCTGATAGGTCTATCAAAGTTCTACTTAATTGCCAAGACCCCCATAATTCGATCCCATCCTACCTATATCCACTTTTATGTCTTACTACCTAGAACAACAACAACAAATACCTTCTAGGTAGGTGACTTCACACACCATCTTACAGGGTCATGGCTCAAGCTCCACATCTTTTAGGAAATGTCCCTCCAAGCCTCACTGACCTCTCTTCTCTAAATGGTGGCTTGTACATCATCAACTTTTAGCTTCCATTTTAAATTGTCTATATATAAAAAAAAAATGTAGCAATTCCTTGCCACCCTCTCCCCACATCCACATATACACACACTTTCCCTAGCTTCACAGGCCTAACATATGGGAGCATGGTTGTATTGAAAGGGGAGATAAATGAAAGCACCGTTGTTCTCCAACTTTCTCCCATGACTGACCCATGAGTCAATTTTATTTCAGGTCTTAATGTAGGGAAATCTTACCACTGTCTAAAGGAATTAGAATATTATCTTTAAATCATTTGGTTAACTCTTTTCATTTTTACAAGGCCCCAGAGATGAAATGACTTCCCTAATATATTAGCATGTAGTTGCCATTCTTGTTTCAAATTTAATGGTCACTTCCTCTCCCCCCACCCCTTCCACCCCACCATTTACCACCTAAGTTCTTGAGGACAAAGGTCATCATGTCTAGTGCATATTCTGCATTCACAACAACACCTACCAGTCTTCTCTTTCTCCCACACAGGATCAAGAACGGGGCTGGGCACATGGTGTGCACTAAGGAAGGAATGGATTGAATTGAGCCCCTGCAGAACGTGGACTCTTTGGAGGCATTGAATTTGGCCTCTGGGTGAATACTTACCTCGGATTGGCCCACTTAGCAGTGAACAGCAATGGGCCAAAAGGGACATACCAAGTGTGTAGTTTTGTTTGCCCCACTAAGTTATGAATACCATTTTATACAAACGTATGTTGTAGTATGGCCATACCACCCTGAACGCACCCGATCTCGTCTGATCTCGGAAGCTAAGCAGGGTCGGGCCTGGTTAGTTGGATGGGAGCCCATATCACTTTGAACAGGTCTAGCCTCAGAGTAGACTCTCATTAAAAATGTTCTAATTGACTGACTGTCCTCAGGCCAAAACCCAGATCTTGGTGTGTGTTTCATGCAGCAACTAGAGTAGCATTATCAAAAGGAAAGCTCCAGACTGTCCTTGTCGACACTGCTGGACTGAAGGAACATTTTTTCCCACAGCTCTATGCCTTAAATTGGCCTTAAAAAAGAGTATCTGGGATCCTGTGCTCTCTTTGAAATAATAAAGAAGCATTTTGAAAAGTGCTATAATAAAGATTATAGTATATTATTATGAGATAGCTTAAGGTAATAGGACACATCAAAAGGGTACCAACTTTAAGATGTTAACTGGGGATGAACTTATTTTGGTCTACCCCCAATGTGTCACCTGATCCCCTTGAGACTATTTTTTAAGACCTCTGGCGTGAGTTAATGATGAAGTTGGTAGGCAGCAACAGATGGAAGTGAGCCATGCTTGGATGGGACTTGATACTGGATTCGGGATGATTTGTACCACCCTACAGCTGTTGACTTGCCAACTACATATCTTGGCTATTTCTACTTTTCTTAGTTTGGTCCTTGCACTGCCACCCTCATTTTTTAGAGGAGAGAGGTCTACTTCAAGTAGTCCCAGGCTCCTACTTTAATGTAAGCTAGGTGAATACCTAAATAGGAACTATCTCCAAGGAGGAAGCAGGCCATTTCTTTTAATCATTAACCCAATCTTATGGATGAGCATCTTTCACTATGTTTAGGCACTACATGGGTTTAGTAGAATTAGTCAAGGAATCTAAAATACTTTCTTACTAAATATTGTAACGTCTGTCTCCTTCTTTTCTCCAAAAGGAACTGGTATCTGGGTAGGGGATCAAAAAGTAAGAGAAAGAACAGAGTATGAGGATATTTGCCATTGATGATTTTATCATCTTAGTTCTAGATAGAGAAACCTAGATATGGTTAGGTACAAGAGGGAGCCAGTAATCCAAGCATGGTCATTAAGAATTGGAAATTTGTGCTCATGTCATCAGCATATATACTAAAATTAGAATGATAGAAGATTAGCATGGTACCTGCATAAAGATGACATGCAAATTTGTGAAGTGTATTCAGTTGTGAACTCCCACTAATAATATCCCTCTCATGGAATCAGTTATTGGCAAAGGTAGAGTCATTTCCCTGCAGAGAAGAGTAGGCAGGTAGGCATTCAAAATAGTAGGTGGTCTTTAAGGATACTTTTCAAACTGAAGTTTTGTTTTCCCCCAACATGCAGGCTGGATAATGAATCCTATTCTTTACTCTACGTATATATTCAATTAGTGATCCCCCAAATTGGGCTCTTCTAAGTCAGGCTCCCAAACTTCATTGAGGGAGATTGAGAACACGCCAAAGACCAGGCCTCAGAGTAAGAAAATACAATTGGATATTCTGCTTCTTTTTTAGGTTTCAACAAAGCAAATCAAACATTCCAGGAACCAGCTCAGTTAAACTTGAGAAAGGAATAGTGATTGATAATGATGAGGTAAGAAAGAGCATTAGAAGAAAGAGAATACTTTATTTTATTTTTTATTTTTTTAAAATTATTTATTTATTTGACAGAGAGAGACACAGCGAGAGAGGGAACACAAGCAGGGGGAGTGGGAGAGGGAGAACAGGCTCTCTGCAGAGCAGGGAGCCCGATGTGGGACTCGATCCCAGGACCCCAGGACCATGACCTAGGCTGAAGGCAGACGCTTAACGACTGAGCCACCCAGGCGCCCCAGAATACTTTATTTTTCTTTTAAAGATTTTATCTATTTATTTGACAGAGACACAGCAAGAGAGGGAACACAAGCAGGGGAATTGGGAGAGGGAGAAGCAGGCTCCCTGCTTAGCAGGGAGCCCCCAATGCGGGGCTCCATCTCAGGACCCTGGGATCATGACCTGAGCCAAAGGCAGAAGCTTAAAGACTGAGCCACCCAGGCACCCCAAGTTAGAGTACTTTATAAGCTGGGTTCTCAAACTTCCTGTTGAAAAGCAAAAAGGGGTTAAGATTTATATAGAGAGCAAGGTTAATTTATCCTAATTTTATGAAAGGGAAACAGAGACTTAGAAAAGAGACAGGAACATATCAGCAACAAATCAGGGCTAGAAGCCAGGGACCATAAACTTATCTTAGAAACCTGATGTAGCTAGACTTTATGCTCCTCCCTACCAGCCCCCTCTCAAAAAAACAAAACAAAAACAAAAACCTACAAAAGTTTTCACATCTTTCTCTCAAAATTTTCTGAGACTTCTATGATTCTGAATATATACATCCTATCTGTGAAGTAGATTGTTCATAATATATCTTTGTTTTGAACAAAGGGACTTCAGTTTTCCAAAAAGATAATAAAATTAAATCATTGCATCTTTGGATTTATCTCTTCCCATTGTTCCTCGTGGAATGCATGGCATGGCTCGGATAGTCGTCCTGGTCTGTCCCCTGTCCCCCCAGCCCCTGGGCATTGCCAGCCCCTGGCATTTTCCTCCCCTCATGGCACAGTTCTGTCCCACCCTTACTTCTTCCCTCTTTTCCATTCACATTCATGCTTTTCTCACCTTTCAATGCACGTTCCCATCCCTCTGCACCCCATCTTACCATATCACCTCCTTGCGGGCATGGCAATCTTTGGAAATGCTGATCCAAACACAGGATTGTGCCTGCTCCTCTTTTTCTGATTTCTGATTATGCCGAGCCCAAAGGCGGTAACTCAGAGCTTTTCCCTCCTTGTGTCCTCATCCCTTTGACTCATCTCTGGGTGACCTACAGCTGAGCTAGAGGCTAGGTAACAACACCGGGGTCAGGAAAGGAGAGGCAGGAGGCCCAACAACTGTACAACCAAGACACGACACTCTATCCGTCTGCCAATCACCAGCACGTCCACCAGCAGAAAAATGCAAAGTGGTGGACAGGAGTATTACTGACATTCAGTTATTTTTGGTCAACATTTCTGGAAGAATCACGTACTGTAGAAATATTAAAAAAACAAAACAAAACAAAATGCACCATTGTTTCTTCCTTCCTCCATATGTCTGCCTCCATCTCGGCAGGCAATGGTCCCTGGGGCTCCCGTCCACTACGACCCTTAGGTGATTGCCCTTTTACGACTTGCTTTTCTCCTCAGAGGGTGTCCTCCATGTTGATTTTCACCTGATTTCTTATAGAAATGGAAAGGGCAGAAGGAAGAGTTCTGATGCCTTGGAGTGATTTGTCCTCGTCTGAACTTTGATGCCGCCGTTACCTACTTCCCCTCATAGCTTTACCTGCCATCCATAAAATGGGTCCACATGTCCATGTACAAGCTTCCCTGTTGGGATGCCTCAGAACCTAGCTCTCTTTGCTGTGGTCCGCATTCCAGAATCCCAGGGTACAAACCTTGAAGCACGGTGTTGTCCTCACTTAGTTTAAATGAGAGACCAGTTTTTAGTCAGATGGAGTGGAGGTGAGGAATGGAATATTGTGTAGGCTTGGTGCAACTTGAAACCACTGATTTCAGTTATTGTCTCTAGATTTGTGATACAGTCGGGCAATCAAAATTTGTTCTGAAGAACCTTCAGCATTACACGGTCCATCCGAATTTGGTAGGTGGATTCATCCCCCCAAGGTCCCTAAGAGTAAGGTCCAGGAGTAGTGCCACCAGCTTCTGTGACTGCACAGGCTTGTAGCACAGGGAAGCAGAGCTGTCCTGGGACACTTACACCAGGGGCAGTGCTGAGTATGGTGACGGTGAGGAACAAGGGAGGAACTGGGAAGAAGGTGGTCCCTGCGGCTGATTTTTTTGGTATTTTTTTAGAGAGAGTTCGCAAGCATGCGCACGCAGAGGTGGGGTGGGAGTGGAGGGGCAGAGGGAGAGGGAGAGAGGGAATCCCAAGCAGGCTCCACACCTAGCATGGAGCCCGCTGCAGGGCTCAGTCTCACTACCCTGAGATCATGACCTGAGCCAAAATCAAGAGTTGGACACCCAACCGACTGAGCCACCCAGGTGCCCTGCAGCTGATTTATTTTTAAGTTGAGAAAACCTATTTCTAATCAGAGGTACTCTATTTTCTCCCTCTCTAATCCTCTGCCTCCTTCCTATAGACAGAAAAGCAAATTTAGTGGGACAGCCCCTTTTCCCACCACATCTTAAATGACATGTTGTCTTTTGTGACTTCTTTTCCTTTATAAGGTTGTGCTTATTAGGCACATTAATGTGGTTGTGCCTGTGGAGAAATGTTGGTGGGTGGGAAGATGCAGACAGGTGCTGTGTTGGGCTCCCTGAACAAGGAAGGAGCTTTGGTCTCTGGCAATTTCTCCCTTTGCCTCAGAGAGAGTTGTAGAGAAGGCCATTTAGGCTTAACATGGAAACTTCTGTTTGCCCCATCGTGTTGGGCGAGATGTGACGCTTTTTCAGAAGAACTAAGTCATCTTGCTCCTTTTATGTGGAAACTTTTCCAACTCATTTCCTCACCCCTTAGACTATTTGTGGGGACTGCTCTGAGAGCAGAAAGGGATGGGGAGGTTCAGATATTTTCTGTAAAACAAATTTCAGAGCAGATTTGTCCAGCCTATGTACAGCCTCTGTCCCTCCCCTAGCCAATTGATTTGTTAATTTTGTCTTGATCTAATCCCTTTGTCTCTCTGGAAACCTCTGTGTTGCTCAGGCCCAGTACTATGAGCCTTTGAAGCCCACAGCCCTGCAGAAATTCCTGGCTCGAAACAGGAAAATCAGAAGCTTCATGTTAAAAGTAGCAGAGTACGATCAGGATAAGACCTTACTGATTATGACCAACAACCCACTTCCCTGCCCAACTGACCAGCAAGGAAAGGACATGGCCCCAAAATACTTTTCCAAGGAGTTGCTACTCAAGGTAATGACACATGGGGAAGCATCCTGGCATCCTGAGGAAGGACCCCCAGGAACTGGGAGCTAGCTTGAAGAAGGGAGTTAAATTAACAGGGAAGATGGTATTCAGGAGCCAGCTTCTTCCTTCTTTCTCCTTGCTATGTACTTCACACATACACACACACAGACACACAGACACACACAGACACACACACACACACACAATCTGGAGAGCCTGAGAAAGGCTCAGAATTGCACAAGCTTGTGCCATGAAACTTCATCGCATGGTCCTAATTAGAAATTGTTCCTCCTTGGCCAAAGACATTTAGTTTGTAATTAACCAAAGGTAAAATAGCCACTGGCTTTCTAGTTGAGTATAAAGCAGTAAAGGATAAATCAGGAAATGAAGAATGAGGAACAGAAATAACTAATGGGAAATAAGTAAAGGGTTATTATGCTTTACACCCACTGCTTTTGGGTGTCAGGAGAAGTGGAGAGGAACAGAGCAGAGAATTTACTATCATGGCAGGCAGACATTTGGGACTTGATTCTACACTATAGAAGTTCATGTTCAATCCAATAAACAATTGCTGAACATACACTAAACAAAGAACTAAAATATAAAGATGCTTTCAGAATAGTTTCTATCTGGAAGGAACTTGGAGTCTAATAGGAGACACTGCTCAATACATGAGAAATATACAAGTTATTATAATATACCAGGATATATGAATAATAAGAGAATATGTGAGATACAGAACTAAAGTAGAATAGAGCTCTGTATCTTTGTTGGTGGAAAGGGAGTCATCAGGGAGGTTTTACAGAGGAGGAATCCCCTGACAAAAGAATGGGAGAATATCCCCATCAGAGGAAAAGGCAGAGGCATGAAGACCCGTGAAAGTGAGGCACATTTACGGAGATGTAAAAGAGTAAATGGGGGGGACATAAAAGGTATAATCAAATTGGCATTTTAGAAAGACTGTTTTTGGAGGTTGGGAGAAAGATGTGTTCGCTGTGGAAGAGATACAAATCAGAAAGATTAGTTGCGATGTTACTACAACAGTCAAGGTGAGAGATGCTGAAGAATTGGACTAAATGGCAGAGGAAGTGAAGAAAATAAATTTGAAAGATATTTAGGAATCAGGATCTAAAAAAGATCTTGACAGCCTTAAGAGCAGGCCTAATACGACCAGAAGAAATTGAATGAAGCGAAAGTGCAAACAAAAGAATCTAATTATCACAGAAATTACCCAAGACAGACCCTTGTGATACAATGTGGTGAATTTGAGGTTCGTGCTTCCTTAGGTCCTAGATGAATGGCAGTAAAACTTCCTCTCCAAATGGAGGGTAAAATGCTAATACGCGGTGATACATGCTGAACATGAGTTTGTTAACGAATTCATTGCCTATGGTCTCTTGGGTCTCAGAATTTGTGCCCCTTGAGCATAAACTCCGTGGTCAGTTCTCAGTGGTTATGGGTAATGTACACTGAGAGAGGAATGAATGCTGGGCTAGGATTGTCCTACTCAAGGTAGAGAAGGAAATACAAGACTATCGTGTAGCTTGATGTAAGAAGAACATTCTTCCAACAGCTGGTACTATATGAGCCTTCCAAATCACTTGCAGGACCTGATCACATTCATGAGCAAATTGTGCTACCAGCCAAATTGTAGTAATAGAGTTAAGGCACTGATTGTCAAAGACTGACACCATGGTAATTCTACAGGCTCTCTGGAACAAGTGCCCAATATCTAGAACGCTTCTTTCATATTTACGCTGCAACCCCCCTTTCCCTTGCTAGACAAATGTGACAGTATTTAGTGAGCCTAAGATCGTATACAAAAGAAGCATTCTTTTGCTATGCGCAGGCATGGGTATAAGAAAAGGGTGGGTTCCAGCAGGCAAATCGAAGATCGGAGCAAGCATGTCTGTCACAGGGATGGCTAATCTCACAGCCTCTTCTAAGTGAAATGGCCCTACCACCACCCATGAAGAAAAGGATGCCTTAAAGTCTTTGATTCTACGACCTTTAGTAATGGTGAAATGATAATCTCACAAAACATCCCATTTCATGACCTTTCCACTGCAGACCTGGGACCTGAGGGGGACACCAGACCCAGTGAAGCAAAATTCATAGGCTGATCAGTGACCCATGGTACAGATTGGTATCCTGAAATGAAAACAAAAAAACCCCCAAAAGCCAAAACCAAACCCTCACCAAAGTCAACCAACCTATCAACAGCCAAAAATCCCCAGATTGATCAGATTCCTGCTTCCAGGCACCTGAGTTGGGAAAGGGGAAGATGAAGGCAGTGGGAATGAAAGCTGAAAGGACAGGTAGAGAGAAGCCATTAAAAAAAAAAAAAATTAAACCAGGAGGAAGAGGGGAGTATAGGGACCATGAAATCAGAGGAGGGGCAGGATAAAGTTCTAGAGAAGTAGAAATGAATTAGCGGAAGCTACAGGTAGAAGAAATATACAGAATAAAGGTAGGGAGTAGACACGGTAGAGAGAGAGAAGGAAGCTGACAGGGAGAAAGTAGGAGACAAGCTAATGATAGGGCACCAGAGATGAGATACACCAACTCATGCTGTGGTAGTCCTTAGCTAGTGCTGTCCTGAATCCCAAATACTTTTCCACTCCTGTTTTTCTGCCATGAGGTCTAGCTCTGGTAACGTTTCTGCTCTTTTTGCGGCCAGACTCTTAGCTCCTAGGCACATGTGCTCTTAGAGTAAAACCTCTATTTGTTGAGGTAACTTGAACAGAAGTTCCTCAAAACTGGAAAAGCTTAAAGAGAACGAGTACAGAATTTAAAAGACATGGTTCAACAGGAAGTATTTTTTTTTTAAGAGGCTTTAAAATTCTGTGAGAATCAGCTCAGTATGTGTCATTTAATCAGTCTGGTCATTCATTTAGTCTTTCATTGATTCAACAAGTATTTATTGAGCACCTAACTTTGTGCCAGACACTGTTATGGGTAGTAGGGATAGATCAGTGACTACACCAAAGTCCACCAGAATGAAGTTTAATTCTAGTGAGGCCGACAGACCGTAAGTAAGCAAACAATCACACAGATACTGTAGAATGTGGTAAGTGCCATGACAAAGCAAGATAAGGGAATGGAGCACGATGGGTGTGAGGGGCAATTTTAGATAGCGTAGTTAAACGAGACTCTCAGAAGAGGTGATGACATTTGAATAGAGACTTTAACAGGGTGATGGGATGTGTCCTGCTGTTGCTAGCATATTGTTTTCATTTCAGATTGCCATACATTAGGAAGAATATAAACAGTAGCTTTCTCAAATGAGTTACAGGAAAAATCAGGAGGATAGAGAGCCCAAAGCCAGATCACAAGAAGAAAAGTTCAAAATAGGGGCAATGTTGAGCCTAAGAGAGGAGAACGAGCTTAGAAGGCACGTGATGGATCTCTTCAAATTCTTTAAGGACTGCGGGAGAGACACTAGATTTGTTCTGTTTGGGCTATCGGGTAGAAGTTGTGGGGGGGGACAGCCAACAGCTGAGCAAAGAGGAAATACGTTGAGTTTTTAGGTACAGGAAGATTGGCCACTTGATAGTAATATTGTGGAGGGGATAAGAGAGTCAGATGAATGGTTAGACTGGGTGACCTTTAAGATCTTTCCTTAAAGTCTTTGATTCTATGACCTTTAGTAATGGTGAAATGATAATCTCACAAAACATCCCATTTCATGACCTTTCCACTGCAGACAGAGAATGGAATGTGAATGAGGCAGTCATCTTTGAGAAAAGAAGGTAGCGTCCCATGGATTTCTTTCCCAATTTATTACCAAGTGCTCAGTTTCCTAAGTGATTCACTAACTGAATCCTTCTCAAAACTGGGTAAAGTCCTCTACCATTCACTTCAAAGGGCCACTGGACAAGTCCAATCAATGACTTAAGACACTGACCAAGCTTTGGACATGTCATCTGGCAACAAAACAAATGGGTTCAGAGTTCCCACCCCTCACCTCTCATCTGCAGTTTAGCGTTCTGTGGTTTCAGTTACCCACAGTCAACCTGGGGGCCAGAAGCAGATGATCCTCCTTCAGGAGCAGCCTAACGCTAAGTCACGATGCCTAGGTCACTCACCTCCCTGCATCTCATCATGTGGACATTTTATCATCTCACATCAGCACAAGAAGAAAAAGGGTCAGGGCAGTACATTATTTCAAGTGAGAAAGAGAGAGACCACATTCACATAACTTTTCTTACAATGTCATTATTCTATTTTATTGGTTGTTGTTGTTATTCTCTTACTGTGCCTAATTTATAAATTAAACTTTATCATAGGTATGTACGTATAGGAAAAAATATAGTGTGTATCTAGGGCTCGGTACTATTCATGATTTCAGGCATCCACTGGGGGTGTTAGAATGTATCTCCTATGGATAAGAGGGGTCAACTCTAGTAGCCCACTCAGGGAACTGCTTCCTTTTCTTTTGATTTCAGTCCGCTCTTCCCTCTCTGACAGGTTTTGTTGCATCATTTTAGAGGAACTGAAGTTTAGTCCAGGAAATTAGTTCAGTCGCAAGGGCTCAGCTTACTCCCTCACTTACTCTTCTTTCCTCTGCTGCAGGAAAGTTATCGGCACAAACCCCCTGAGAACTTCTGCCTACCCCTGATGTCTCAGAAAAAAAAGTTAAGGTCTGGGCTGAAACCAACCTTTCCTATGACCCTGTTGGAGGATCCTACATCCAAGCGAGAACAGTGGTTTAGGTGAAGTCCCGGCTCTTGTACTCATTTTCTTCCTATCATTTCCTTATTCATGTTACTATCTCTTTTCATCACAATTTAACAAAAGCTTTTTGATTGTAGGAAATATACATAACTGCATAATAATAAGACAGCTTTCCTACATGACCCCCAGCCTCATTTATACCCTAATGAAAAGAAACAATAATGCAAAACTAAGGTTTTTCCACTGAGAATGATTTTCAAGAGTGAAAAGAGTACTCAAAGATCTATGAGAGGAAATAGAAAAACATTGTCTCTCAGTGCATGTGAAGGGCCGTAGCTTAAGAACAATGTACTATTAGATTTCATTTGAAACTAGTTATAGGAGCAGCCCCCATCTAATGTGGGGAGGAGAGAAGAGATTTTATATTGTTTTTATTTTTTAGATTTTTAAAATTTTTATTTTTTAAATATTTTATTTATTTATTTGACAGAGAGAGCCAGAGAGCACAATTGGGGTTGGGGTGGGGGAATGGCAGAGGGAGGGGGAGAAGCAGGCTCCCTGCTGAACAGAGAGCCCAACATGGGGCTGGATCCCAGGACCCTGGGATCATGACCTGAGTCGAAGGCAGATGCTTAACTGACTGAGCCACCTATGTGCCTGAGAAGAGATTTGAGAGTTCCTTCACAGATTTACAATGCTAGGTTCTAGAAGCATCCCTTCCACTAAGCAATACTCCCACTCCATACCAATGAGCACTCTCTGGTGACTGTCCTTTCTTCTCCCCCAGAAGTAGAGTGTAGTGACTGGTTCCATTAACCCCCTGGCCTAGGATCTACTAAATGAGCTTGCTTTCTTAAGGTTTTCCACCAACAATGATTTCAAGAGTGAAGGGAAGTATTTAAAGGTCTATGCTTTGAGGAAACAGAAAAAAATGTACCCCCAGCTCAACTTTGCTTCAGTCTGTAAAAGAGATATGAGGAAAGATGGTAAGTTTCTTTCTTTTAAAGCAAAGGCTTACAGATCTGAGATGTGGGCAAGAGGGACAACCTTTTGGGGGCAAGAGATAAGGACAAATCAACATTTCTTATGGAGGTTCTGGAGACTGTTTTTCCTTGTAGCCTGGAAGCTAAGAACTGTTAAGAGGCCTGACTGATACTAGGCTTTGGACTCTGTTAAACCCTCAAATTTCGTTTCTTTTATTTTTAACCCTCAAATTTCAATAAAGCTCTAGGATAGTGTTTCCCAAACTACTCACCTACCGCTTTAATAGTTTGGGCCATATTGATGTATTATTTGCCTTGTTATTTATATAATGTTTTTCTTTAAAAGTTTTTTGTTGTTCCTTTCTTAATACTATATCATATGATATACTAGTTACATGTTTTTTTCTGACATACATTTAGTCAAATCTATAGTAATTAAAATTTAAAATATTTATGTATCACCCAAATCTGCCTTGTATTATGCACGTCACACTTTGTGGAAAACTGTTCTAGAAGGACCAAAGGATAAGTCTGTGGGTTTCAGAAGTTCATGAGTTTCTTTGGGGTCGAGGCAGGACATGGTGTGGAAGGGGTTTGGGATAAGGTTTTATGGAAGAGAATGCAGTGACAATTCTCCCCACACATTATCATTCATTTAACACTGATGGGACAACTATAAGTGTTGAGCACTTATCAAGCACCAAGACTGTTTTTTTTCCCCCCCAGCCCTGGAATAATAAGTAGGGATATTTATTTCCTTCAAGGGAAATTCCACCCCTCCACCGAGGCAAGTTTTGAGCTTTATAAGCAAGATAAGATGAACATAAGTTAATAGCACATTTAGTAAAGCTGGAGTTAAATCTTAAATGACTATATGTAGGATATCAGCAGTTTGGTTTAAGTCAATATTGGGGGAAAGAATTTCTCTAGAATCTAGAATCTAATCTAGATTAGAATTTCTCTAATTTTTCAAGGGCATGAACCTTTAAGGATCTACCCAATTTATATTTCTAAACAGAACACTTAATATCTCAGTCTATAGCAATTAGTAGATTTTTGGTGACTTTACAGTTTCTCCCAAGAAAAGTGAGTACCTACTTACTTTACTTACGCATCTAAAGGGCCCCTTGTGATGCTTTCCCTAAACAAAGACAGTTTGGGGTGGGGGACTGTGAAGTTGAAACAATGTCTCCGCTTCAAGTAAGAGAGACTGCTAGCAAACCCTCCTTCTGCCAATAGCCAGTCACGTTCCATGTTTGCCAGGCATCCAAATAAAGAAAGATTACGTAGAAAATGGTTTGGATGGGGGCCATAATTGGATGGGGGCTGATTAGGAGGCTGTCCAAGAGATGGATGATAGGGCCAGAATGAAGGTGATAGCAGTAGGAATAAGGAAACAGATCCAAGGGATATTTACAAGACATACTGCATCAAAAAAGTGCGAGGGATGGAAGCAAAAAGAGCCCGGGATGGAAGCTTCCAAGGACAGGCAGAGGTTGAAGGAGAATCTGGATAAAGTGAGGACACTGAAGCCAAAGGTAGAAACAGTTTCTTAGGTACACTCTCAGACAGGAGAACGGAAAACCACATGCAACTTGAGGAAAAGGCTCAGAGGAATATGAATATACAAGTGAATGCATCTTATTAAGAGTTATCTAAGTGTCAGTATGGTTGCAGGTGCAATCATTTGAAAGGGGTGGGATGAAACAGGGAAGACTCCAAACTGGCAGTGTCTTAAACTGGGTTTTGATGAAGGGAAGGGATCCAGAACTATAAAGAAGGTTGGGCATGGTAGTCCGTGGTCCAAAATTTACCCTCTTGCTAAGAGTAAAGACCAGCTTCCTGGTCTCTCCAAGTGGGTCTCTTTCCTGCCTCACACTGAGTGTCCTTTTAGATCCTCTGGAAATCCACATTTACCAAGGTGCCCTGTGCTTTGTTGCAGTCGCCAAGTCAGGGAGTGACCTGCCGACTTCCAAGCTGATGTGGGAACCACTAACCCTTTCGTCGCTCCTGGAAGAGAAACTCACCAGAACTGTGCCAGGGGAGAGCACCTTCCGCAATGGAAGGGCCCAGCAGTGGGTTATAAAAAACGCCACAGTCGTCAAGTGAAAACAAACCCTCCAGGCTTCCCCGCCTCGGTCTCCAGAGACTAAGGGGCCTACAGAAGTCACCATCCAGGGCGTGTCAACCAAATAAAATCGCATTCTGCCCGCTCCGGGCTTGGGCTGCCCGGTCGCTGGCAGGGTTGGCCAGGGCCAGCCCCCGTCTCCGACCTGTCGCTGTAGGGGCCGGGGGGCCGGGACGCAGCCCCGGGGCCCCAGCGCCTGGCCCCGCCTCCGCCCGGCTAGGGGAGGAGGAGAGGGCGTGGCCGCGTCCCTAGGGGACCAGAGCGGCCGCGGCAGCCGGGGGAGGGCGGGCCTTCTCCCCGAGTGACGGGACGGCGACCCAACCGGCGCCTGAGCACGGGGCCGGCCTTCCTGCAGCCTCTTCCGCTCGCCCGCTGCGGCGCCTGGGACGGTTGCGGTGGGTCTGGGCGCTGGGAAGTCGTCCAAGATGATTAAAAAATTCGACAAGAAGGACGAGGAGTCTGGTACGCGCTGGGCTTCTGACGCCCACCCTCAGCCGCGGGGGCCCCTTCCCCGCCCGCCGCCACCTGCTCTCGGGGGCCCGAAGGCGTGGGCGCCGGTGTGCCAGGGGGCCGGAGTTGGAGCCCGCCCCTCCCTCCGCCCGGCTCCGCTCTGCTGCAGCCTGGGGCCTGCCCCTAGCCCCTCCCCC